ATTGTCTTCTAAAAGCCACTTTCCTTATTTTAACCCAAGGCACGTTCGGTAGGGGCTCTCCTCACTGGAGTCACCTGCTCTGGAGTCATACAGGACTTCCCTCGCACACTTCTTCAAATGGGCACGTTTTGCTGCAGCTGCTCCTGATGAAAGCCCGCACTCCTTGACCACAAGGGTTGCGTTTGCTGAAGCACTTCGAGAAACCCTGCTGATAGGAAAGATTTGCTAAACCTAACATTTTGGCAAAACACCTGAGCATGGTCATGGGCCGTTGTATTCAGATCTCACTGAATGACTACAGAGGTCTTTATTTCTCATTCCTACCAGCAGAGCGGCCTAGTGGTAACATGCCTAAGATTGCTAAAGCATGCTTACATTACTGGCCTCTTTCTTTGCAAAACACTTCTGCAGGTAACTCTTTCAACAATTAAACTTCTATTTCTGAATGAAGAAAGCCAACAGAGCTTCTGCTTCCTCGTTCACGCCAATGTCCATCTGCTAGGAGGCAGCATTGATCAGAGTTAAGGTAATACTTGGTCTTAAAGGGAAATCTGTTTTTTTAATACAAAAAAGGAGCAAGTATTAGTCCATGTTAGCAGGGAAATATAAGTAACGGAGAGGTGGTGTGTACCAGCACCCCCTTCTTTCCTTATAGCATGAGAGCAACATAATGGGGGGGTGGGGGGTTACTCCTCTGGGAATTCAGGTTATTTGTTTCAGCTGCCAGATGTGCTGATGGAAAAGCTCAAAGGTAAATACTCGACGCTTGAGTAAATCTGGGTTACCAGCTACAATTGTCCCTGTAGGTTCAGGCATGCAATGTTATGTTTTGTTTCCCTCAACTGGCTATAAACAGGTTTACGTTAAATTCTTTAAAAATTCCCATGTTGATTTTTAGCACCATTCAAATCCTATCCAGTGTAAGAAGATAATATTGACAGGATTTCTTTTTTTTTTCTTTTTTTTGGTGTGGAAATTTTAAAACTTGTTCTGTAAGCTATTAGAAAAAGTAAAATGAAAAAAATACCTAAAATATGCCTTGATAAAGTTCTTTTAACTATATAAATACATTACAAAGTCTGGAACTTTACACAAATTGTGCTTTTTTTAGAAGCCTTTCCTGAAATTAGATGCTTCTGCCCAAACTTGGATAACTTAGCCTAGATCCCAGGCTGTTTCAGGGTGGCGAGCAACAGATTTCCCAGCCAAATTTTATTCCTGGTGTACAGTCAAACCACCCACCATTTTTTTCCCTGATTGCTGTCCTGTGAATAAATAAAACTTTTCCAAAATGCATTGATTTGCCCACACCTGAGATCCAGCTCTGGAGATTCAGCCTAACAAGCTAGAGCAGCTTGGGTGAAAGCAGACGCACTCATGAAATATGCTTCAGATTTGAGGCCCCTAAGAGTTCCCTGCTAACAGAATATTCAGGTAAATCTACTTATTGGTGCCTCATCATATTAATAATTACTCATTTATGTATTCAGATTAGAAAATAAAAAAGTTCTATGCCGTCCTTTGCAGGACTTGCTTCTGCAAAGACATAAAGTCCTGGCCCTACAAATATCCCCTGGAGTTTTGCCATTAATTTCAGTAGAGGTCAATTTGCCATCCGTTTGTGAATGCTGAAAGCTGTTTTTCTTTACCTTTGGGCCTTGCATTATACACAGTACACTCATTTGGCTTATCCAAACTCTGTAGCGCCTTAAATCTGAAGCAAAGTGGCTGAAGTTTTATGTATATTCAAACTTCCTTAAAAGTGTGGCTTTAAACTGATTCGGTTAAACAACTCGTACAAAACCCAATATGGACATTTTTGCCTGGATTTAATTCTATTTTACAGGAACTTAAATCAGTTACTGATTAAGTGAAACATCTTGAATACAGGGCAGATTTAAATCCAGCTAAGGAGTGTCCATTGAGATTGATTTTTAAAGTATATATTTGAACCACTTTAAAGTTCCACTAGTGCAACTTTGAAACGGATAAATCTGATCCTATAGCATCTCTGTGAGATTACTTTGAAAAGATTAGGGCTTCAAAAAAAGTCTTGAGATAAGAAACACTTGTCGATCATCAGAAAGGTATGTTTTTCTATAAAGTTATCCAGCAATATTCAGTCTACATTTTATCTTACAAATATTAATATTGTTCTTAGGAAAAGACATATAAAAATTCCTGTTTTGACAGTAGTACGTTAAATGTTACCCTCAGTCGCTCTACCTAAATTGAACGGTGTGTTTCTAAAACTACGTTGCTGTTCTTCCTGATTTGGTTCACCAAGAAAAAGAGAAAAAGCCATCAGGTAGCAGCTGCACATTGGGAAGGAGCATTTGTTTTCGCTAGCACAAGCATCACAGCTCCAAAGCATGCTAAGTCACTGATCTCAGTGACACAGAGGAGGATAGAAAGCTGAAACCAAAGCAGGGTAGCAACACAGGGAAAAACCCAAATGACACCAGTGAAAATCTGTCCCCCCGCACACGTTTCAGGTCGGTATTCCCACAGCAGAAACAACCCACAAGTACAAAATTCAGCTTTGGCAGGGACAAAAGCAATTTTTCCAGCATGTCTTAAGACCTCATCAGATTAGATCCTTTGGGCTGTCCTTCAAGTGCTGTCAAAGGGAAGCTATCTGCACGTCGAGCAGAGTTGAAACTAGCACAGGATCGCATATTTAACATCAGCCGAAACAAAATCAGGTCAAAGTTAGAGCTGCAGTGAAGCGCTCTCCACTGAGGGAAAGGCTCTTTCATCTCCCTTGGAAATGTTCATTAAGCATCATCTGGAACCGCCAGGAAAGGAAACAAAAATACTTGGCTAGTCCCGAGATCAGGGCAGCCTCAGACTTGAAGGTGACCCTCGTTTTCAGAAGAACAAAAACCCAAATGAATCACAGGCATAGTGAAGAGAAAGATGGGGGGAAAAAAAAAAAACCACCTCACTTTACCCCACCTTCCCACAAATTGCAGAGCACAGGGCCATCCTGCGCAGGTCCCGTGCCCTGCAGGGCCATCCTGGGCGCAGGTCCCGTGCCCTGTTCCCCTGGTTCCGGCCGTGCTGGGAAGAGCTCCGGGTTCCCGTGCGGCACCCGGGCACCTCCGTGGCCCGGCCCCGCTGCCTCCCATGCAGAGCCCACAATTTTCAGAATTTAGTGTCAGGAGGGAAAAAACAACTCCTCAGACAAAGCCCTCTATTTGGCTCAGTAGAGTAAAGCTATTAACGTGCCCTGTATTTGTACAGGGCCGTGTATTTGTGTTTTGGAGAGGTCATACAGGAAGGATGCTAAGAATTGCCTCCATTTTTGCTTTGAGGACTTTTCCACAGACTTTGATTACGCTAACAAACTTGAGAGGCTCTCTCTTCTGGAAACAAAAACAAGAGTGCACACATTCAGCTGGTCTATTCTCTTCCAAACCAGGTCTGCACTGGTCGATTTGGTTGCAAATCATAAGCGCATCTCACCGAGACTGTCAAGCTAGGAAGTGCTCGTCAAGTCGTATATGGCACAGATAACGGCAGTTCAATGTACCTTTTGCTTCTGCTTAGAACAAACAACTTGCAGAACATTTTTGCACAACACACAAATTTCAAAACAAGGTATTTCAGGTTTCACGTACAATGCAAAGCTACAATATACTACAGTATTTAATGCACACCAAATAGGAAAAGTTCCTAAAAAATACTCATGCAGTTTTTGTGCCATGGGATAGGTAATGGCTATTTCGTAGAAATAGATCCAACTGGCTCCATTGGAGCAGCAGTATAAATATTCAAAATAGAAGTAATAATAGGCCTTGATGTGAAACTTTTTTTTTTCTTCCCCAAATCTGTCTCTTCTGTCAGCAAGGAAACATTCTGCTTAGGAGCAGCTGCGTCTTGCTACAAGATTATAGCGGTGTGTTTGCCGGTGGATTTTTATGGAAGTGTGCCACATTGTTGCTAACATTATTTGATTTAAGGAAGTATTTTAGGCATTTTAGTGGTTATTATTGTTATTACTAATCTCATTAACTATAAACGAAAGAAACAACGAGAAGCTACAAAGGGTTTCCTAATGCAAGAGGGCCTCCAGCGGGCACAGTTACTAGGAGGCTGTTCCAACAGCAGGCTGCATAGCAAAACAAGGAACAACGCAATTATTTCCCGGAACGAAAAACGATGCAGGTGCGTCACTGGCTCTCTCTCGTCTCTGTCCCCAGACCCTTCCTTCTTCCTTCCAGGGACCCCCCCATGCAAGCCCAGGGCAACGGCTGCCAATGCCTCCACACCTTTAGCGTAACAGCAAAAGAAAATAAGGTGCTGAGCTGAATGGAAACCACAAGGTGTAAATCTTTTGTTTTACATCGTTTTGCCCAAAGAAACTTAAGCTGAAATCATCAAGTGCAAAAGAGTTGAGAAATTGGCTTGCTGTATGTGAATAGGGCTTTTTTTTTTTTTTGGTTGGAGTTTTTTTTTTTCCCTGCTACAGTTTAGTTTAAGGTTTTTTTTGTTTCTTTTTACCTAGGGTTTGCTGTGCCTTGACTACCAATATTTGCCACTGTTTGTACCATAGACAAAAACATTCACCTATCTGGTAGTATCTTATTACACTTTGCAGTAGAACATATACAAGAAAGAGGAAAAAACATACCAAATGAATCAGAAGTGATCAGTGCTTAAAGTAAATACAACAGCCAGCACTGGCAAGAATCCACAGCATCAATACATACAAATGTAGCAGTGATGGTGCTTCTCATGGGGTGGAAACTGCCTGCATAATAATACAGCATTATACAAAACCTAGCAGGGATATTGGAACAATGAATAGCTAAATTTTCACAATAACTTAGATCTGTGAGCAAGTCTGCGTTAAAGATATTCCACATTTTGAAAGTGCCATCGGTCTGTCTCTCTCTGTCTTCAGCCCTCCTGCAGGAGGGGTGATGAATCCACATGAACTATTATCAGGTAAGTTCAACTGTTTAAGAAAAAGAAAAATATCTGGCCAGGTCCAGTGTATTCTTTAAAGAGTGGCAAATTATGACTTCAGTAATTATGTCTGTGCAAAATATGCCTCTTTCCTTTTAAAGAAACCAGTGTCTGTAACTCATTTAGAAAAGTTTTGACACGTATTTATGTCTTTCTCAGAACAAATAAGATGCGAACTATTGAATCCCCCCAAAACTAAAGGAAATCTGATGATGCAAAGAAGGTTCTGACCTTCCATTTCCAGGCGTGGATCATTAGAAACCAGGACACCTCCTTGGTAGCCCTCCTGGGCTGGCACTCAAACTATTGCTTGGAAATACCATCAACACCCTAGCAATGAAACTCCAGCATTAATAATGAAAATGGTAGCAGTGTTTACCCTTTTCATCCATGTTCACCTTGCATTCCTCATCACACCTGTACGCGATTCGTTCTGTTTAGTGAAAAGTCACTGTCTGTTGCCTTGCCAATATTCTTCTCATAAGCAGTAAATCCACTCGCATGCCGAGTACCTTGAATTGAATTCCTGTCATAGACTGCCCTGTGACCTTCCGATCATTACAGGAAACCCAGCGCTCAGAAGGAGAAGCTGCAAGAGAGGCCATTGATCGTTGACGATAAAAATCTCAACCGAAAAAGAAAAAAAAAAAAAACCCAAAACAACCAAAAAAATTCCCACGATTCTCCTTGAAAACAAGCCTCCATATGATGTACCCTCTTCTGTGTTCTAGCAATAGTCTTAAGTCATAAATTAGATTAGTCTTCCGTCAAATAACTTAAAAAAGAAGGAATTGTAGCAGACCAGTTTTGCCTGGCTTGATGCCAGTTAGCAGCCAGTTCATCTAGAGTCCCAGTCACTGTTCAAAAACTGAGCTAGGAAATCACATGAATGCTGAAAAAAATAATAATCTTCACATCGATGCAGGATTTTTCCAGGTTGTGGGGGTCAGGGAGAGGGTAAACCGAGATGGGGCCAAGGGTCCTATGAACAGTGAACAGGATATACTTCACGACTTGGAGGTGCACCGTGTTCAGGAGATGCCAGCCGTGGTTTGTATTGCACAGGTAAGAGGGAAGTTCCTCCCGACAGTCTGCCACCTGCATTAGTGATCTCTGCACATCGGCAAGTTCACAAAAGTGAAAACATTGAATTCTGTCATGATGGAGAAACACAGGAAGATGCCATAGAGGGAAAGGCACACACACCCTAGCTTCTTATCCAGTTTCCATTTGTTCATGTGGACACCAAAAACCTACAATAAACAAAGAATAAGCAACCATGACAGCAACGTTTTGAATAAAGTGGGAAATCACCTTCTCCATTGCAGGAGCATGAATATAACTCTTCCCTTGCTGTACACAGTCAGCTGGAAGCAAGCGCAGTGAAAGCACTGCATGACAGCTGGGATAAATCAGAGTTGCTCCCTCACAGTCACTGGAGCCACACTGATTCACATCACCTTGAGTCCTGGCCCAATGGCCTGAAGTTTCTGCAGCAAACTGCATTTTGGCAAGAACCGTCCCACTTGGTTCCACCAGGAACACTTTCAAAGGCCAGATTCTCTTTTGCACATGTGAAATGCTGCCTGTGCCTCTCTGCACCTCAATCTAGAGCCAAATGGTCTAAGGCTGTGCCTGAATTTGCTTAGTTTGCCCCCAAACAAACCTCTTGGAGTTAAAAGTCTTGCGCATGTGGGAATTGTTCTGGCACGCGACACACAGGAGGGCCCCCTACAGCAGCTGGCCTGAAGATGTAGAAGATGTCACAAGGGTATATAAACCCTCTTCTGTTCAGCATTTTTTGCCTAGTTTTAAGTTGGACTCGGCCGGGACAAGGAACGTAAGCCACCAATTTCAACAGAAACGTTGTCCTGTCTAGGCACTATTTGTGCTGCTCTGTGTGATATTTCACAGTGTTCTTACAGAGGGCTAGAGCAAACTGTACAGCGCTTCACGTATATGCCCAACAGGAGAACGGATCTTGCCATACCTCAAAGGGTCTGCTTCATCTCTCACCGGAAAAATGGCTAATGATTACCAGTGCCTCTCCCAAAGGTCCTCCCATGAAAGACACACCAACATATGAGCCAACTTGTGACAAGCTTCTGCAAAGCACCTGATTATGGTCTTGGGAAGTTTGCAATAGGAGTGACTGTTCCTATTCCTTAACAACAGACTTTGCAACTGCTGTTTGCAGCTAGAAGCAAGAAAGGAACAGGTAAAGAAAACGTCTACAAAATCCCTCTTTAGGAAATGAAGAACAAAAGACTAGATACATACTGTGACAAAAACAGATGCCAGCAGGAGACCAACAGAATAGATAAGTCCTCTGCTGTTTAACCGAATCTGGAAAAGAAGGCAGTTTGTAAAACCATGCCATAATTTCAAGCAACATTTTTTTCCTCACTGCTAATAATTCTGTAATCCTCAACTGCTGAGCTGCTAAACACAGGCATGCAAGCTGCAATACCCAAGCCAGACCATTACATCACAGATTTTCTTTTGCCCAGTCCCTCTTGCCAAAGGAGGAGTATTATTAAAGGATGGCGTGCTCGGGACCTGACAGCATTTCAAATTGTTCCACCCCGACATGGGCTTTCTCATCCCTTGTGCAGCTCGATCGTGGAAATGTGTCTTCTTGTCAATTAACTCCTATGTGAGTCCTGAATGAACAAGCTGCATCTTAAAGCTCTAATTACATTTAAAATAGGGGTTTATGTGACATAGACCTAAAGCCACACAGGAAAGCTACTGTAGGGAGTACCGTCACCTCTCCTGTCCCATTCCCCAATCAGGATCACTCTTCTCCTCACTGTCCCATTCTCCTCTTGTACTTTTAATTATTGTCCCTTTGGGCATTTTTATATCCTCTTCCAAGTGTCATCACCTGCAGTATCAGCAGGGGAGCACCCTGGGCTGTGGAGTCTCCTCCCACGGGGTTTGTGCTGGGGTTACTGCTCGAAGAAAACGTCCTCCTAGGGAGGAACAGCTTTTCCAGCAGCGAGGCTGGAGGCTGCGGACATCACATAATATCAAATATTGTCTTAAGGGCATTATAAGGTAATATAGCCCATTGTATTCTTTCCTGTACATTCTGTGCAAAGAAATTCCTGTGCTGAATTCCTG